TATGGAGTGACTGGTACGTGCATTACGGTGGCAATAAATCAAATAACATGAGATCAATCAAATGTCTAGACATGTCGATCAAATTATTACTAGTTACTAAATTTCCTCTACTGCAATTTAATGCTTATGGAATTGATTTCCCAAGAAAGGTAATCTTTAGTTAGCAAGAATTAAATCATTCTTTCTTAATTCTATTACTTCTTTGGATTGACATGATTGCAAAGCTATTTTCTTTGGATTAGCACTGTTAGATTGATACTTATGCAAATCGAAATAGGGAAAAGAAAATTTTTCATTTTCTTGCATAAAATTTACATGTGTTATCCTTTTTGGAGGTTGATTCTCTATCACTTGAGTTCCTTTATCTTGGCCGGTTCATAGCATCATATGTTGTCAGTGCAAGCAACACAAGAATGTGGAATTTGATTGCATGTCCAAATTCTTTTTTATTGCATTGCCCAGGAATTCATTTCTCATGCAACAGTTTCCTCACTATGCCAGGTTGTATGCATCGGTGGCCAGCAGAGAAAGCAGATGCAACAACTCACAAGATGGAGGAGGAAACATTGCTGGACCAAACAGAGTGGATAATTTGTCATGCTTGGTCCTCATGTACTTCAATCCATACGGTTTGCAGTATTTCCAATGGTATTAGAATAGATATATTTATGTGAGAATTCATTTTTCACTATAATTGATCATCTGTTTTTCATATGAACTTTATCTTGCACGAATTTTCCAAAAAAATTCAACATTTTAGTTTTTTTTTTTTCACAAAATACTATTTATTTTTAGAATTCTCTAACACCATCTTTTTTTTCTTATCTAATGCTTGAAGTACCCCTAGACAGCACCAATTTTTTTTCCCTCCTTTTTCATATGGACTAATCTATAGGAAACTAATCTTGTTATAATGTTTTTACACCATGTTATAGTGTTTTTAACAATATTAGAAAAAACACTGTAGCACATTACAAAAATGTTATAATATTTTTTACAGCGTTGCATTAGTTTCTTTGTATCACTGAAAATATTATAATATAATATAAAAATATAAACATATTATTTTTATAAAATTTATATAAAAATATTATGTTATAGTATTTTTCAATAATAATAGAAAAATATTGTAACACAATACGAAAATACTATGTCATTTTTTATAATATTACACATTTTCCTAGCATTACTGAAACCATTGTAATACAATGTAAAAACACTATAGATCTATTCGCCCTATGTTTTTATAATAATTCTACTATTACTAAAAATATTATAACATAATATAAAAATAATATTATTATATCTATTCATCCTATGGATTGATCATACTTTAATTCAATAATAGTATGATTTTTCAGACAATATTTGAACGAAACTTTCTGTAACTTCTAATCCAACTTACTTTTGAACTGCATCTGATCTGGTCGACTTAGAGCCAATAATGGAACAATACATTCAAACGAAAACAGTAAAAACTCGAACACCACTTGCAGAATCATTTGCTGACGCAAAACAAGAATTGATTTTGATCAAATCAAACTGCATGGGTTTGCTTGTGGAACCGCTCACTCCTCTCCTGTTACATGGTTTTATACTAGTCACTATCAACCAAAATTCATCAATGAAAACTAAAACTAGGGATTCATCTCAAACAGAAGGAGACTCTACTTAATAGGAAAAGGAAGGAAGAATGATATTTCAACTATTAAGCATAAAAAGGTATCATTAAGGAATTATGAAAATAGAAGTGTGCCTCTGGAAAAAAAATAAAAAAAACTTTTTCAAAAATTTATCCAATTATTTTTATATAAGATTGAGTTATCATTTTTTATTATATGATACAAGAGGGAATTCAACTTATCATGGTGGAATCTGATTTTTAAAGTTTTGATAGATATTTTGAATAGAAAATGTGCCCCTTCTTATTCTATCCTAAAGATATTTATAGTTTGCTATTAAACATGCTCATAAAAAGGGTAACCTATTGATTAACTCTGATCTTCTGCTGTCGACTTGTATTATTTTGGTAAGTAATACATTGTGAGATAAGTAATACATAACGAGAAAATAAAGGAGCAACTATATACGAAGCGTTCGCATGCGCGTGCGATGCGAACTGCGTCCAACTTGGGCGGATATGCGTATTCTCGCCGTCCTAGTCTCTTCTCGCACAACTAACGGCGCCACCACGCCGTTATTTTTATTAATATTTTCTACCCTTTTAGTTTCACCCGTTTAGATACCTGTCTTTCCATTGGAAATGACGTGGCTCCACACACAATCAGATCTTTCAAGTCACAGGGTGGCGACGAAAGGTCAGTTGGCATGGTCGTACCAGACGACCCGCCGACTACCCAAATTCCACGAGACCACCATCATCATCATCATCTACCGGTCACGAGTAATCAGACGGCTCCAGTTCCACGCAGTTCTCGCAGGTTAACGCGTTACACAATTTAATCCTCAAGTACCGTTGTGGCAACGGAACACCCCCGCCCACAAACCCGCAGACCCACCGCCCATGTCCTTCGCCCTTTATCACTTTCTTGGCGTAATATTTACCCCCAGACGACCTTTCTCTTCAACAGAACGATCTTGTATTATATTATTACAACGGAGGGGAAGATCGCCACATACCTCGGCATCGAATCCCCAAATCTCCTCCTCCTAGCGAATAGGTGATAGAATGAGATCGGAGAAGTAGAGTAGACTGTTCGGAGATATCTTCTTGATCCTTTCTTCGGCTGCTGTGTTTCATCAAACAGAGAAGGGGAAGACGAAAGGAGATTAGGGTTTGTATTTTGGGAGGAGGAGGAAAGGATGGGCGGAAGGGGTTGGGAGAGGATGCCGACGGTGCGGCTGGGTGGCGCTGGGGCGGCGTCAGCGGGGGTGGCGTCGAGGAGGAGAGAGGCGGCGGAGCTCCGGCAAGTGTCGTCGCAGACCGTGCGGCTCGGCCGGGTGCAGCCCCAGGCTCCCAGCCACCGCACCATCTACTGCAACGACCGCGAGGCCAATAACATCGCCAGATTCAAGGTCAGAGGATCCTTCCCCGGGATCTAGTTCATCTTTTTGCGTTTTTTGGTTCTCATGTTTCTGCCTTTGATCGGACTCACGCTGTAGGAAGCATGGACTATTTTGATGCCTTGTTGGTGATTTTTAGTCGACAAGAATTTTGGGCTTGGACGATGAACTGAATCCCAACTTCTAACTTCAGTGTTAGATGCAGGGAATTTGAATTTAGTAGTGTTATGTTCTCATGGTTTTCATTGAGAAACATATCAATGCTGATTTGGGTCTTATATCTGTGGGATTCAGAGCAGATTATATGCGCAACTGGAGCTTGCTCCGTGCAAAATTAGAAGGTAGGTCTAGGTATGTAATTACTGCGGAGACTTAAAAGATCATATTATTTCCTGCTGGTGAGAGAAAACGAAGATTCTTGAGTTATCGTTAAGCAGTAGAATTACTGCTGAACTCTCATTTAGTTGAAATTAGAACCTGGCTCACAATCTAGTTCAACTTTGCTCAAGTCTCAAGAAGGAAAAATCTAACTATTCATTTTTGGTCCTCTATCTTAGGTTAGCATCTTCATGTAAGGCCCACAAAAGCTATGCAAGCCACCAGACAAAAAAAAGGTGTTCTTCTAACATGAGTCCTATGGTAGCTGCTCCTTTATAATTTCTATAGCATAACCAACTTTCTTGTCTAAAGGAGTGTTAGAAGTGCTCCAATTCCTAAGAGTGGCTTGACTGTGATGACTCTGGGAGAAATCATAGGCTTGTTGTAAATTTTATATTTTTGGTCTAATTAAGGAGCCTTGGCTTTATCAGAATAAGTGGCTGGTTAATTCCTACGGAGTGTTGACATTAGTTAACTTAATGAAAAATATTTCTTTGGATGGTTGACCAAATTATTTCTTTATTAGATTTCCTTTTTGTCTCTTCCTAGGTTGTTGGGATTGAGATCCTGTTCGTATCCGTGAGTTATCTTATTTTTGGAGTGGAATGGACCGGGTCATATCTCACTACTTTATGGTTGTAATAGAACCAATATAGGACATGAAATTCTCGGAATAGTGAATAAAATAAGAAATATATGTTGATGGACTGATGATCTATAGAAAATAATAGTTGAAATATGTAAGTAGAATGCCTTTTTTTTATACAAGTGTTACTTCTGCGAGGCAAGATTCAACGAGGAAATTAAAAAAAATTGTTCACTAAGTGAAGTACTTATGCTAAATTTAATGAAGATCTTGTTGTTGGTTGCTATTTTCAGTGATTGTATGTCTACTACTTTGGGGAGGAAAAAGTTGCTGACATAAGAGGATTTGCCTGATTGAAGTAGCTAAGGGGTCCTTGGCATGATGTCAATGAGCAACTTGATGAAAGTGGGTCAAACAGGCTGCTTAAGAAAGGGAAAAGTGGAGATGTAGGAGGCCTAAATTGAGATGATTGTGTGAGATGGATAGATTTTAGCCTTAAACTAATGTTAAATAGATAGGTACTGTTAGATGTACATTTAGTAGGAGGCCTAAATTGAGATGATTGTGTGAGATGGATAGATTTTAACCTTTAACTAATGTTAAATAGATAGGTACTGTTAGATGTACATTTAGGATAATGTTAAATGAATCAAAATAATTGTGCTTAGGATGTTGATATTGTCATCACACAATAGAATTGCTTTATATATATATATATATATATATATATATATATATATATATATATATATATATATATATATATATATATATACAAGGTTCGCATTTTTCTATCATACTGGCGTACCGAACCTTGCTTGATACGGTATGTAACGAGGCGTACTAAGCGGTATGCCTAAAATAGGCATAAAACGCTCCAAAAATACTTGAAAAATAGAAAAAAAATTTGGATAGAGCTTTTAAGTTAGAAATAAATATACATTTAGTATAGTTTTAGCAAATCTAATTTAAATTAGGTAAGAATAGTGTAACATCTTTTTCGGGCTTTGAGTTTAGGAGAGTGGATCCAATCCACAAATTGTTGCTTTGTTAAGTTTAAGAGAGTGAAAATGTAAGAATAAGAGAGAGATTGTGAGTAAAAATAAGTTTAAGTAAGTGTGAGAATGAAATGAATCGAAAGAGGGAGGAAGAAAGGGTTTAAAAACCCTTTAGGATGCCTCCAATGGTTAAATTAACCATTTGAAAATAGATATAAAATGGTAACAGTCGGTTTCGATCGTTATCGCTTGGTACAGGCCAATAAAGGTTGAAATCGATCGGTACTGCCCAGTACAGGTCGGTAACGATCGAAATTGCGACCGATAGAGTCTTGTATCGCTAGATATGGGGCCAAAAAATTGGTACCGCTCGGTAGCGGGCGGACCGTGTGTCGAAGGGCTATCGAATTGGTACATATTGGGCGGTATGAAATTATAATCCTTGATATATATATATATACTTATTAGATGGATGTCCAGGGAACTGAAGGAACACAAACCTTATATGTATAGGTGTAACAGGATGCATGCAAAGTACACACTAAAAAGATTTGTACTTTGGCTGCCACTAATCCTAGAAGTTTGGGCTTTTATAAGGAGCCCAATCTATAATTATGACATTTGTACTCACCGTAAGCTGGATTAGGGTTGACATGTGAACCTGAACCCACGTGCAAGATGGTGAAATCTAAAAGAAGACTAATGATAGAAAAACTATTTATTACACCTCAAATAATAGGGGGGCGTAATGCCTAGGAGTAACTCATGACCTTCTCCGATGCCATGATAAATTTGTAAATTGAGTGACCACTAATCTTATAACGTTAAGCTTTTCAGAAAGGGCATAATATACTTAAAACTCTTAACACTTAGATCACAAAAGTATTATGTTCTGTTATGTTTCATCTAAGTTCTTTTGGTTTTTGTACTTAAATGTTGTATAATAATGTGAAACTCATTTTGAACATGGGTGTCTGATAATGCGAAACTCATTTTGTACTAAAATGTACTTTATGTTAAGTTCTATCTGAAACTAGGGTGGCTACCTTCATTCTCTATTGCTATTCCTAGATTAATTTGTAGTTCCATTAATTTTCATAGCTTTATCATGTCAATTCTTTTTTTAGCTTGTTTTTTAGCTGAAAAAGGGTTTGACTATGATAATTGATGATCTCTTTTTGCTATTATGATTGTAAGACAATGATCTTCCTGAAGTGTTGTTTTTCAGGGTAATTCCATATCAACAACAAAATACAATGTTTTAACCTTCCTACCCAAGGGGTTATTCGAACAGGTACTTTGGTCATTAGTGTTTGTGGAACTAGCTATGTTCCTTTACCAAAATTATTTAAAATGTTCATGTTCTTTTACATATTACATCAATTTTTTGTCTTATATCCTAAAAAAATTCTATGATAAAACTTACAGTTCAGGCGGGTTGCTAATTTGTACTTTCTCATGATCTCAATCCTATCTACTACACCGATCAGGTAATCTTCTTGAGAGTTTGATATAATGTATTATGATTTATGTTGGGCATTGAGTGTACAAATAACAGCTTATCCTTTAACTTGTTCTTGAAAGTTTGGATAACTGTTGTGTACTTTTAATATATCAAGTGATATTAGCCTCTAAAATGTATATATATTATCCACTTGACTAAGCTGCGTACTGTTCTTGCAGTCCAGTGTCTCCTGTAACAAATGTTGTTCCTCTCAGTTTAGTTCTTTTGGTTTCTCTTGTTAAGGAAGCATTTGAAGATTGGGTTAGTAAAACACGTAGACCCTAATTGTCTCTTTTTTATGGTTCTTTTGTCTCTGTACTCCTAATCTTTTTCCTTGTCTCTCTGCAGAAGCGTTTCCAGAATGATACAGCCATCAACAGTACTCCTGTTGATGTGTTGCAAGGTCAAAGGTGGGAAAGTATTTCTTGGAGAAAGCTACAAGTTGGAGACATTGTGAGGGTAGGATTCAGAGTCTTCTATTTACTGTATAGATGACTATATGACACATGAGAGTTTGTGGCCAATGATTCTTGGTTATTATTTTTATTGGAATGTTCTTTAAGTTTTGGGTTGTATGCTTTTTAGCACAACAATCAAGTTTTATCAAAAAGAGAACTTGTGCATAACAATATGTCCATGACCAAGTAGTGAAATATATTTCTTAATTCTTATGTTAGTAATTTGACTTGGTAAGCATTTTATTTAACCATTTTATTCATATTTTTATTTTGTATTTGGTGGATTAGACTTTTGATGATTATTTAATTTTAAAATTTAGCTAGTTTTTAGTTATTTAGTTTATCTTTGTGATTACTTCTTCATGTTTAGATATTTTTAATGATTATTTTTAATTTTAATATTTCAAAGTTAAAATTCTAATATTTACATAAACATATTTGTGAAATAAATTTTAAAATATTTTACATAAGTTGATGTGATATCATCTGTTCTACATAAATGTTAAATAATAGGATTGGATGTTTGATTTGCTACTTCCCAAATGGAAGTAGGAAATGATCTGTATGGGATTTGGGTTCGATGATCTGTCGATTAATACCACCTCTTGGATGGAAGTTTTGGCAGAGAAGAAAGACTCAAATGAAAGAGTGATAAAATAAAAAGCGATAAAAGACTCGAATGAAAGCGTTAAAACATAGGTTGTCTTTGGACAATCCTTGGGTGCTCTTGGCAGGTTGAAGATCACTGTCAATTTCGATCTCTCCTCCTTTCTTGCTACTGAAACCTCCTTTTGAGGTTTGGACAGCGAACAACAGGGATTCTAGACTTCTTACAATAGTTGGATGAAACTTTAATGCAGGGCTTTGGCTATTGGAACTTGAGGAAGAAAGAAATGCGGTTGGAGGGCAGAATCCTTTTCCGAACTCTTATTTTGGTTCTCGATGTAAGTTGGAATTAGGGCCAGTTGTGGGACTTCTTACTACTACCTTGGGATCTTTTGAAGGGTGCTGCGCCTCCTTGGTTTTATAGGTATAGGGACGCCCAAGAGTCCTACTCCTTTTAGGACTTGGAGAATGCCCTTAGGATTAGGAGAGTCCTAATGCCCTTAGGACTTGGAGAGTCGTATTGCCTTTTGGACTTGGAGTTGGACCTAATTTGGTCAGACCTATCCTCTTTGGATTCGATTGAGCTCGAGTTCTATTTAGCCACATTGGATTTCAATCAGAGTTTGAGTTGAAGTTGGGTTGAGCTAAATTGGAATTCGACTGGAATTCAATTTAAGCCAAATTTCAGTGAGGCTTGAGCTGACTTGAATTCAGTCTTTGAGTTCAGAGTCCAGCTTGATCTTGGTTTGGTTTAACCAGGATGAATTGGAGTATGACTAGAACTCTAGTTGAGCCAAATTGGAGTTTGGCTTGAACTCTGCTAGATCATCCCTGATCATGGCTTCCCCAATTAGATGATTCAACTCCTGATCAATCTGTCTTTGAGGTTTCTTGTCTCTTGGTTTTGTTTTGGTCTGTCGATGTGGTCGACATTGTTGTGCTTGGTTGTTGCATCTATGCATGTTGCTTTGATGGGGTTCTTCTTGTTGCCAATCATCGTTGAGGGCTTTCTTTCTCTCTTGGGGCTTTAAGCTTGCTACTGCCCCATTTGGTTTCTCCTCCTCTTTCATCATGTTAGAGGAAGGCTGTGTTCTCTTACATGCCGAAGTGAGGGCCATGAGTTTTCGATACGCGTATACTTTCTTTTTGTCTGGCTAGCGGATGTCAAGTCTTCTGTCAAACCCCATATGGATCAGGAAATGACTGTTTGATTTAGTTTGATAATCCTACAAGCTACTCTCCTGATTTATACTATGTTTCCAACTCTGGCAAAATTGGTTTTTTGGTGAAGGAGCAGATGAAGTGCACCTTGTCTAAATTTTGCACAAATGGGTGAAGTGGCCCACCTTGACCCTGGTTGGAATTTAGCTTGTCACTTCTTCTGAATCAAATGTTCCCCTGTGCAATATCTAGTAGCAAGTGTTACTGCCTGTTTGAGTTTAGAAATAAGAAGATTCTTCTCTTTGCTGGTTATACAAAAAAAAGGAAAAAAGAAAGAGAAAGAAAAATTCTAAAGCAAAAAAGTTGTATTTTTTTTCAAAGTCAAACAATTTGTTTTACTCTTGCTCAGTTGTTGGAAAACACCTAAGATCTAAGCTTATCCTCTAAGAAAACATTTTTCCACTTGATCTCAGTATGACAACCCACCACTCAAATACTATCGCTTGTGGTTTGCATCTGATATTTTTAGTTATGAGTTTGATGTATTTAGATCAGATATTCCTTTTAGGATTTCTGGTTTTAAGCCGTACATGTTATTGAGCTTATGGTTGTGTGTTGACTTGGAGCAGGTCAAGCAAGATGGGTTTTTTCCGGCTGATTTACTGTTTCTCGCTAGTACAAATGCTGACGGAATCTGCTACATTGAGGTTTTCTTTTAGCCTTTAGGATTTGAATACTTGAATACTGTGTTTTGTATGTAAAAATGATTTTAACAACTAAAATGATTTGAATTACGATACCTGATTTCATCTAATAGTTTAGCATTTTTTATTTGTGATTTCAGACTGCAAATCTAGATGGGGAAACGAATTTGAAGATTAGAAAAGCATTAGAGAGGACATGGGATTACTCACTTCCTGAGAAAGCTGCTGAATTTAAAGGTTTGGTTGGTTCATTGATGACTTCCAACTAATTGCTTTTCCACTGAACTGTTATTGGTTGAGTCAGAAGGAAAGGAACCTTACAGTTGATCCCTAATGGTTGAGATGCGAGGCTTCAACTAATATGATACCTGACTGAAATATTAGGTTTTTATGTTCTATATTTTTTGTGGATTCAGCAGCATTGAACATCTGTGTAATTATTTTATCATCAGACATGTTTCCTTCATTAGGTGTCAACCATTATCTGGTGCATGCATTTGGCTAATATTTGTAGAATGATCTAGTTGTTGGTTAAAAGAGCAAGATAAATTATTATTATCCTTGAAAAGTTTCATTTCTTGCTTGCTTTTAGTTTGTTCTCTATGCTTAATGGTCTAAGATCTTCATATCCATAGATCTTGTGTTACTCTAATTTGAACTTCTTCTACCTCATGAAATCATAGTGATTCTTTTAACGAAACGTTCCATTTTCTACAAAACATGCTTGAGTTTCTGAAATTGTATCAACTAAATCTAGTTTCTTAAATCCTGTAACTACTTCCTCGGATGTTTTGTTGGTTAATTTCTTTTAAACACTCTTCTATGTAATCCATTTGCTATTGTAAGTCTCATGGGATTTGTTATTTGTCTTATAACTTCGTAGGAATGCCTCCTTAACAATGACTAGAAGCATGGTTGCCAACTTTTTCTGTTAAGCTATAAGCATAGTTTACATTTGGGTTTAAACTTGCTTTTAAACAATCAGTTAAGGTTCAGGTCTTGGCTATGTTGATCTGATCCTAATCTGGCTTATGTGATTTAATTTTACTATGATGTTCAATAAGGATGGAAGGTGAATGTGAGTGAGTTAATGGCAGAGAAGATGACTGATAACAAGGTGAAAACAGGAGTCAACATAGTTAAGTAAAGAAGTATTTTGATAATGGAAGAGGAGCTAATGATAAACAGGGTGAAAACAGGACAGCCAACAGAGTCAAGTTAAAGGGTACAGTTGGGCCACGGAAGAAATAGAACATAGATTTAGACTTGGGATAGTGAGGAGTGCGGATAGTCCTCTCATGTGATTTAATGAGGGGGTTTTTCTTTGCTGACTTACCAGAGTAGAGGCAGAAGATTCCTATGCATTTTTAGGATCATGAGATTTGCATAGTAATTCCTTGAAGGGAACTAGATTTAAACCAATTCCCATATATTTGTGATAGGAATAAAATTTGGGTAAGAAGCATTTTATATTATTACCAAACCAAGACTGGAACAATCTAACATAATGAGACATTAGATCAGGTGCGCTTAAGCTGTTAAAAACTCTGGTTTAACCACTTATGGTTATAGGTATTCTTGCCATTGTTTTGCATACTACTGAGTAGTGATGTAAGCAGAGACAGGATGTACTAACATAATATTGATTAATGAGACTAATCATCCAAATTTTGTACAGAAGAATGAGGTTATTAAAACTCAAATAATGGATCAAGCTACTCAGTTTAATGCAACCAAGAATATTAATATGGAGCCAAAATAGATTCAATTATATGATGGCTTTCGAAAGTTATAGCTATATCAAAATAGGGAAGTATGTCAAGTCAATTTTATCCTCTGTGATCCTGTACTGCATACTTTATGATGTAGTTGCATTTGATTGGATGCATTTGAAATCTCACATTTTTTTAGTTTTGATCATGGATTTTTGGCTTTTTTATGCAGCCTCTGCACTTACCTCTGCACTTGATCATAGTTTTGATCATGCATTTGATTGGATGCATTTGCATACTTTAGTTTAGAATTTGTCTTAACACTTTACATGTTTCCACACAATACATCTGATTGGATGCAATTGCAATCTCACATTTGTTTAGTTTCAATCATGGATTTTTGGCTTTTTTATTAAGCCTCTTCACTTACCATTGTTAGTAAATTAACTAATTAATGGAATTTGTGCTAATACTTCACATGTAAAATTTACCTGATCTCCAACTAATGCTTTGACACACTACCTTTAATGCATCTACAGGGGAAATACAGTGTGAACAGCCAAACAATTCTCTGTACACATTTACTGGAAATCTTGTCATTGAAAGTCAAACTTTACCTCTTTCACCAAATCAAATTCTACTTAGAGTGAGTTCAAGCCTTGCATTTCCATGATTTTTCTCCAAAATACTTGATAATGTATACCCTCTTGTATGTCTTAGTTGTAGTCATACTTATTGTATTTTCAAAAATCACGTGCTTGTTTACTTTGATAATTTGTTGCCTTTTTACTTATTATTACTATGGACTTGTCATTTTGAAATTTGCTGATTGAACAATATTTCTTCTATCCAATGTGTTTTGATATGTGTTGTTTTTATGTTTTGTGAGCTTGTAGTTGTTTAAAGGGAAGCTCATTGCATGTGACTGTTGCCAATGTGGGGTTTGGGACAATATAGTAATTTGGTTTATATGGTAGGGATAAAATTTTCCTGCTGGCTTTCATATGCCATGCCAATGGGTAATCCAATATAATGTCAAGGAAGCCTTGACAGTGAGTGCACTGCCTCATCTAAATCACCGTGCCACAGGAAAACTAGCAGTATGTTCTGGAAAGACTTGGATAAGGTCTCAGATCTCGACCATAGTAATGGATATGGCCTAGTAAATACTGGATGACAAAGTATTGCCATCAAACATATAGCTCAATAATGGTATAATTTTATTTATTTTATTATTGTATTCAATATTATATGGGGTGATATAAATCAATATACCATCTTGTCACTAACTTAATTGGAATTGTCTAAGTTATGGGGCACCCATGCATTATTCATCTACAAAGGATCAACCTAGTTACAACCTTGCGTAGGTCTCAAAGGACTTATAAAAGAGTAAATTGATTAGTCCAAAAAATGAACGACAAATAAGTCCTAATGTCTCACAAAGAGGGTAGCTTTACAAGCAATTCAGCATGCACTTAGTGTGCAAGAGAGAAAAGAGAGAAAGGAGGAAATAAGGACTTTGGAAAACAAAGTCCCTGTAAGCTTTACATGCGAACTTTACCCAGTGGTTCTAGGGTACTGAGATGGCTGACGTTTCACACTGCACCGCAACCTGCAGAATATAAACCATGACACATGAAAATTGGGCTATTTTGAGGTAGTTTTGCCCATTCTAGTGAGCGGTTACTCTATAGCCTTACTTGCTCATTGTTTTCAAGCAAAAAAAAGAAAGGGCAAAACACGTTGCCAAATTGAAGTACCCATGTACAAGTAGACAATAGCGACGAATGGTCCGTTGACGAAGGTGTTGCAGGTGCGCAATGGCCATCTATGATAGTCCGGGCATATCAGTACCATATTGGTCTCATAGGTTGTTGAAACTGGAATTGGATCAAGTTTTAATTCCTAGGACATGGGTAGTTCAGTAAGGCATGCCATGGTTATACTAGTTCAGTAAGGCATATGCAAGTTCATTAGTCTCTCAGTCATCAATGTCACTGTACATTTCTGAAAGTTATCATAATGAATTTTTAAGACATTATATTTTGTAATTGTGTAGATTGAACTGATTCAGATGAACACTCTACATGATTATTTATAATATAAGTATAGGCACATCGAAACCATTGTGTGTGTGTGTGTGTGTGTGTGTATATATATGTATATATATATATGTGTATATATATATACACACACATATATATATACATATATAGACACACATATAT